GGGACGTGGGGGGGAGAATTATAAATAAAATGCACTGTCCTGCAAAAAAAAAAAAAAAAAGGGGGGGGAAAAAATAGCAGGAAGGGGTGTGGAGGAGGRGGAGGAGGAGAAGGAGGAGGAGGAGGAGGAGGAGCAGGAGGAAGGAAGGGGGTGCTTCGCTGCACCACCGAGGGCACAGGGCTTTGAGGAATACCCTGCCATGCCAGCAACAGGCACCACAGACCTCAGTGGGTCAGTGCCTGCTGCTGCAAGTGCATGGGGTGGCACTCAGCAGAGCACCCACGGTCCCCAAGTCCCCAACCAGGCGGTCACCCTGTCCAACACCTGTGGCTGCAGCATCCACTAAAGCTCTGGGAACACCCTGTCAGTCACCAGCCAGCCTGTCTTATCCTGTTCCACTCCCGATGAGCCGAACAGCTCCATGTTTATCCCGCGGGACACTAGATGGGGCAAATGGCTCCACGCTCACCCCACCAGGCACCATCTGGTGCCACCAGCCCGACACACACACACCCCCCTGGCCCCGTCGGTACCTTGGAGTAGAGCCCCCAGGAGAGCTCGGTCTCAATGACCATGACGACAATGCCAAACATGCCGAAGATGAGCGCGTAGTCGCTGAGGCGCTTCCTCTTCTCGAACAGTGCCCGGCGGTGCCCGAGCCGGTAGCCGATGTTCTGYGCCTTGCGCTTGGGCCCCTTGGCGAAGGTGCTGGGGGCCGGCCGGGCAGGCGGGCGGGTCGCACGGTGGGTGGCAGGCGCATGGTTGTCCTCGCGTGAGACGACAATTTCGGGGGGTTCACCAGCACCGAAGAGCTGCAGGGGTTGTGCCTCCGGCTCGGCCTCGATGAGGTTCCGTCGAGATGCGCTGAGTCGGCTCAGGGGCTTCATCACCCCCCCGCTGTACTTGCAGGAGCTCATGGCAATCTCGGTGAAGGGGTTGCTGTCCCGCCGGTGAACCAAGGGGCTGGGCTGCCGGTGCTTGCTGCTAGCCACCCCAGAGCCCGCTGGGTGGTCGCCGAGGTTGAGCTGGCTGCCGTGGCGGGAGGAAGGGTGGAGGGCGGCGGGGGCGGCGGGAGGAGGAGGAGGGGCCCGTAACGACCCGGGCGAGGAGTGCAACAGGCTGTGCTGAAGCGGCGGCAGCGCGGAGGACGGCGGCGGTGACCGTTCATCCCCCGGTAACGGGCAGGGACACCGACCATCCTCCTCCAAGTCCCCCACGCCCGAATCGTGGAGATGCCCCGATGTCTCCATGACGGCGGTACCGGCGCCGCTTTCCAGGGCACCGGTTCCGCTTTACTTGCCACCGGCCCCGTTCGCTGGATCATGAATGGGCGCCGTGCTCTCGCCGCTCTCGCCGCCGCCACCGCCCCCGCCGCTGCCGCTGGCCCGGCCCCGTAGCGCCATTGGCCACGCTGGGGCTCCCCGCAGGCTGACATCATCCCCGCCCGCTCCCCGCTTTGTATCTCCCCCCCATCACACCCCCGGCTCCTGCATCTCTGCGGGGTCGTTCGGGACTTGTAGTGCACCGGGTTGCACCAGGCACCGGCAGCGGTGTGCCTCGACGGACAAGTCCCAAACGATCCCCGTTTAACCCGCTAGGTTCCCCCACGGGCATCCCCYCTCCTCTTATATAATCCCCCTAAATCCCTTCACAGAGGCTGGAGATTACAAGCAGCAGCTGGAGCAGGTGTTCCCATCCTGAGGGTGGGTCACCCCATGGACAGGGGTGCGTGCGTGTCTCAGGATGTCCCCAAGGTTGGGGTCAGGGTAATTGTAGACCCAGAGTATGGGATATAGAGATATATAGGGACATAATCCCCCCTCATAACCCCCAGCCTGCCCAGGAACCACCCCCGCCCCGGCCGTGCCCAGCTGTTGCAAGAGAGGAACAGATATTAATGTAGGAGCTCGGGAAGAAGATAATCTGTAGGAAATTGGTTGCTGGAAACCCTATTAAAAGACAACATGAAACATCCAGCTGGTGACCCCTCCTGCCCGGACAGAAGGTAATGAACTGCACTTCTGCCCCCCAAAAGCAGGGAAACCCATGGTGAGAGTGTGGCAGCATCACCTCCATGTCCCTTCCCCAGAAATGAATCACAGCCCAGCACGGCAGTGGTTCTCAGTGTCAGAGCTTTATTCCAGAACAGGAAGCACTGGCAGGAGGAGGGAGAGATGCTGTGGGGTTGGGAGGGGGGCAATGCAGCCCCCAAGCCCCAGTGGAGAGAAATGGAGCTATAGACTCCTGTGGAGTGACTGCAACAGCACCTCCAGCTGCTCGCCCAGGGCCACCTCATCCCCATCATTGGTGATCACCCAATCAAAGGCCACTCCCTGGTCCAGGCCACACTCAGATTCAGCGTCGTCCACCCCTGGCAGCAGCAGAACCCAGAGAGGCCCCAAGGATGGTCAGAATTTGTCCATCTGTCCCCCCTACCATGCTCTCACCCCCCCAGAGCTGGGGGATTTGATCCAAAGCCTTTTGCTCCCACTGCCAAGGAATGGTAGTGGAGGCAGCAGACCTGTGTCCATGGGGTAATCCGATTTGGTGTCATGCTTAGGGAGGCTGCCCCTCACTTGCTCACCAGTGACAAAGACCCAGTTTCTCCTCTTCCTTGTCTCCTCAGTAGCCACCACCCGCACGGTCTGCACCACGTCCCCATAGACATCCCGGAACCACTCCACATCCGAGAGGCGCCGTGCATCGCTCACCACCTGCACAGGGGCTCCATCAGCACCCTCCCTCTGCCCCCAGTGCCCCTGTTCCACTGCCAAAAACTCACCCACACTGGCTGCARTGCCCCCTCCACAGCTGCCCGGCAGAAGAAGCCGGGGTCGGCGTTGCGCTTCTCCTCACCCCAGCGGATCATGTCCTGTCGGAACATCTCCTTGTAGTCGCTGGCGTCCAGGAGTCGCTGGAAGTCGAGCCCATGCTCCTGTGGGGAAGGGGAGTCAGCGGGCATGCTGGATCAAGCAGCACGGTGTGGCTCAGTACAGCACAGAGCACAAGAGCCTGGCACGATGTGGTACAGCATGACCGCGGGATGGCATAGCTTGGCGCAGCGTGTCCTGACATGGCTTGGTGTGGTGCAGCATGGCACGGCTCAGCACGGCATGGCAAAGCATCAGATGGCACAGCACGGTGTAGCATGGCATGAGCATGGGAAGGCACAGAACAGCAAAGCACATGCCCTGGCACAGCTCAGAGTGGCACGGCACGGGCGTGGGACAGCACAGCAAGTGGCAGAACACGGCACCGCCCGGCACAGCTCACGATGGTGCGGCATTGCATGTCACGGTTCCGTATGAGCGTGGGACGGCACAGCACGGCACGAAGTGTCCTGGCACGGCTCGGCAGGGTGTGACACGGCACCGTGGGGTGTGACACGGCTCGGCGCGGCCGCACTACCTTGGCGTACTGCTCCTTGAGSGGACCGGAGAGGCGCAGGATGGTGCAGACGTCGGGGCCCAGCCTGTGGGAGAGGGGTCAGCGGGACGGGCACTGGCACCGGCTCCACTCGGCCAAGTCCCGGCCTCCCCGTCCTCCCGTACCACCCCCGCCTCCCCATGCTTTCCCTGCGCACACCCCCGGCCCCAGCGCCGCCCCGCCCGGTACCGGCTCCGCAGCTCCTCGGCCACGAAATCCTTCCCCGATTTCCTCTTCCCGCTGAGAACCAGCACCGCGC